CACAACCAAAGGTTTTCGTAAATATGCGCAGGAAAAACTCTAATTCTATAAAACAAACAATTTAGAAACAGAGTCTAAAATATTTTTTATTACACAACAGTGTAATCTTTAATAATAATACAAAGAAGGTCAGAAAAACATTAGTTAAAACTTACGTGATAGTCTCTTGTTTAAAAATCAACAGTTTTATGTTATCACTTAAATATTAACTATACACAATGCACTGTAGGTTCACAGGAAATCCAAAAATCATTTACATTTGTGGGGCTTCAGAATACACAATTCCAGTTTTGTTTTACATAAAACATTTAAAACAGATTTTACGTCAAAATGGAAAGAAAAGCTAAATAATAATAGAATAAAATACATTTAAAAAAGCAAAATTTCTTGATGAGGAACAAGATTAGTTCAAGTGTCCACTTTAGTAAGTTAACCTCTCAGTAGCACAGCCCCGCGGGCTGACAGCATGAGAGCTTTTATGTATAGTAAGTACTTAGTCCATAGAGTAAATTGCCCTAATAATGGCTGATACATACTTCATTACAACTAACAAGGGGAGAAAACTGCTCTCCTAGTGACTCAATAGTCGCTATTTCCGACAGTCCACGCGCCACCATGCAGAGATCGTGCCAAATTTGAGTTCCGCGTTCACGCGTGGTCTTTTTAGCACCCACGTCAAAATAGAACTGACATTTTAATAACAAAACAGAAGTTTGAATGATATAAAAGCTGCTTTAACTCACACCTGCAGGAATGTAATATAAACTTTCTAATGAATATGAATGTACATAAGTGCTAACATTATCTTGAGTAATTTCACTTCATAAACAGTGCAAACAGATTAAAGTCTAGCATTCGGATTTCTTTGTTTGGGAGTGATAAAGTACTAAAACTTTCTCATAAAATTGAACGTAGCATCGGAAAGCTGGTAAATCAAATATCCTGTCAACATTGATATGAAAAACGAGTGTGGCTATCTGGAAAGACATTATTAGTTCTATATCAGCCTGCCAGTTATCGAAGTAAGCAGTGAATAGTCATATAATTCTGGAAAAAAACATTCTTAACCTACAATTAATTCGACCGTTTATTTTACGTTCCTGTTGCTGTAAAAATAGAAAACGGTTGACTGGCTGTGGTGTTGAACGGATGTGTGTGTGATGTAAAATGTAGACACGGAATGAAATATACTGTATCCTTTTCAGTTTTATTAGAGTGTGCTACGCCCTCACACATATGCCAAGTGCAAACTATATAAGCACATCAAACTTGATACAAGAACATTTGTAGAGAACGATATCAGTTTAAACAAGTTTATACTGAGTCGTCGAAAACAAATGATATATATATATACATAGTTTGACCTGGAGATATGAATTACCTTTCAATATTTAAGTATACGTGCTTATCATTATTCACATATTTAAACTTTTGAAATAGTGACAATTTCTCTTGTGTCAGTAAGTCGACTCACAATACCTGCTACGTTATTCTTTTTATTTTCACTTCAATTTTCCTAGGATGTGTCAAGAACGTTATTGGAAACGACTTGGGTCTTTTGAAGGATATTATAGTTCTGAAATCATCGCCACGCACTTCACACGTAGTTTCAAAGACGAAGCTGTAGATTTTCAATTTTAGGTTTTTTTTTATTTGGTCTCTATTATAAATAGGCTGGGGCCCGCTTTCCTGCCTCGAGGCCACCCTTTCTGTGGCAGGTCGATTTGCTATCAGGCGGCAGGCATCAGCGGGAGAGAGAGAGAAAGCGGGGCTCCTAGTGTTGCCAGCACAGGTATCGGAAATCGATGGGGGGAGGGGGTATGAGCGGGTTAATCCGACAGCCAACAGAAACGATACAGAAAGCTCTGATGGTGGTTGGCCCTCCCCATATAGTTCCTTGTTCAGAAAATCTCGGGGAAAACGCAGTTTGATGACCTGGAAACACCACGTTTGCTGGTACAAAGTCATAGATGTCTCTTTCTTTCACAACAGCATTGAAACATTTTATAATAAATACTCAAAAACAGTTGAATACGATAACCACTCGATGATCAATATGCATGATGTCTTTATTAAATAAAATCACGATAGATTGGTACATCTGAGCCTATATGCAACATATTTGATGTTTCATCTCGGAACTTACTGTGATAAATAAAAATACCAATTTTAGGATCACGTCCCATCTATTTATTCTCTAAAAGTGTATAAATAAGGATGCTGATAAAAAATAGTTTAAAGGCTCTGCTTCAATGAGAAACTATTAAAAACACTAAAGTAACTGAAATCGCTACACTTTAAGCTGTGGTAACATTAGTTGCTAAACACCAGAATGACACAGATATGCTCATGTGGATAAGTTAGCATTTTGTAGATACACATAACTTCTACGGCCTTCTTAATCTTAGCTAATAGGAGAAGCTCCAGTAATGAATAAACACGCATGTCATTCTTTTACATGTTCTAGCATAGATACTTAGCCTTAGTGTATACTGTATGCTTGAATAACGTACATAGAGAGAGGAATCTTGATTAGTGTTTTGAATACTTGTTGAAATAACTACAAGCTATTCAACTTCCACTTCGTCCTTTAAAACTTTAAGTTTCATTTTCCCATGTTTTATTGTTATTATTACATGTCATTCATTGGATCTTGCTCTTCTTTGTGTACATCAATAACTAGCCAATAACATATTAATATACAGAGCCAGTATTAAACGCACGTACTGCTGTTGAATTTGTTACATGTTGCGTTCAGTAGTCTATGGGTCAAGGGCAATGAATGTCGTGGCTTGAAATACTTGGCCACTTAAAAGATTGTCTTTGCATATCGTGTCTGTAATGTTGACAAAACCTTGTTGCGAGTAGACTTCATCAATCGTCATTATAACAAGATATTTTGGCCCACAGCACAATCATAGTTTTGTATTAAATTAATTATACCCAACAAGAGACATTTTGCTTTATTTACGATCACTTTTGGCAGATCGAACACGATTCACGTTCTACAAAGACCCGCATTTTCATCTGATCACGTGACACAGAGGGCTCAATCTGCTCATCAAGGAAAATAAAATCCTAACTGAATATCTAACTAGCTTACTTTGATTATTTAGGCGATGTTGTAAATATAACATATAGGTTAATTATAATGAAAACATTATGCAAAATATAATATACTGCCCGCCAGTGGCTCAGCGCCAAGTCTCTGGAGCTACGACACTAAACATCGGGTATTGATACCCATAGTGGGCACAGCAAAAGAAGCCCACTGTGTGTAGCTTTGTGCTTAAAACAAACAAACAAAACAAAATATCATAAAAAACATTATACAACATACATTTTGAGAACAAAATGTTTGCAAACAAAAACCTTTCTACAAAATTGTTAACATTATTCAAGTTCACCGAGAATAATTCATAAACATTCTTTTTTTTTCCAGCACTTATTTTCAATAACAAAAACGTTCGTTTCATGCCGACTTTTCGTGATCACCCTAAGAGAACGACTGCGAAGCCCTCAAGCCCTCCGACGTCGCTCTCACCATCTGCTCGGCGGGAACTGTCGCGTGCAGACACACGCGTTCATTGGGCGTTATCCTCCACAGAGATGTGAGACCACTTGCATGGGTGTTTGCATGGCTTCCCGCGGTTCTCCCATCCGGAAAACCCCTGCAGTGGGCTTTGTTCCCGGGAGAGTCGTTGAAAATGAAGCGCATGCACCAGCCGAGAGATGTATAGGCCTAAAGATATTTGCATACATTTGTTGCTTCTATAACTGTCCTGCTGTAAAGTGTAGTTTGGATGATTGCAACGTCTCGTTCAAGTACAGGCACAGTACCTCGTGCATTGAACGCAGTGACAACAAAGATCTCGACAGGTGCTGTAAGTTAATATACAATCAGAGCTTACAGAGGTGTAGTCTTGCTTTCTTCACTAAAACACGTCGTTGAAGGAAGCAAAGAAGTGAGTGGAATATTCAGTGGTTTACTGAATTCGCACCGTTACCATAGTTTATAATTCCCATTTCCAGCTAACACATACAACAATAAATGAAGTTTAAAGTGTCAGTTTATATAGGATTTACTGTTGTTATATTTATAATTCTTGAAATGTATTATTGATTTATCAAAAACAAATATTTTTTAACGTTCAAGTAGTTAAGCCTATCACTGTCACGTTCTTGATATGACGAAACAGTATTTCCTGTTTGAATATCCACGCAACCGTGATTATTAAACGAATAACATTTTCAACGGGTAAATTGATTGTATTAGTTTAAAAGATGTTTATACACTTGACTGCGTATTGAATTTTATATGATAATTTTAAATAACGCTTTCGAGTTGCTCAACAAGTTTGATACTGTACGAATGGTTTACTGTACGGAACGTTCCAATCATTTCCTGTCCTTTTGAAAACTTACCTTTTAAAACATCACTGATAGATCACGTTTATATTATACAAACATACTATAAAAACAAGTTGTGAGTGAGATTTCTGAACAGACGTGTCCTGAAGGAGCATTCTTGGAGCTATAAAGTTTAGTTAGCTTTTAACGTAAGCACTATTTTCAGGGTTTAAACACTCTCATTGTTACTTGGTAACTTTTGGGGAATTTTTGTAATGCAAACTGAGTATCATAGAATGACGAGAGATGAAACGTGTACGTGAAAACATGCTGTGAGACATAGTGACCAGCAACGGACAAATATGCACAAGTTCATAGATTAGATATGTTAGCACAATAAAACAACAACTTACTCATGTAGAAATTATTTCTTTAGACGTAATCTTATGAAATATTTGTAGGTATAATGAACGCAGAGTCTAAATTCACGTTTTTCTTGCCTGTAAATTTTCTAATTCTTTTCCGTTTCAGTACTTGTAATAGCTGTATTGATATTACCTTTATAAAAAAAGTTTTACAGGATGTCACTGCGCGTAACATACTCCCAAACTCCATTGTTAGCCTTCAGTAAGATGAATAATTTTACTCACCCGAGAAGTATCCATAGCCTGAGTTAGGCCCTACTACCATTTCTGGACTGTCGTCAAGTCCGTCAGGTGACATTCCAGGTCGTATGGGTCGCATGGCCCGCCTAGGGTTCCTGAAAAAGTGGCGACGAGCTCCGAGGGTACTGAGTTGCTTCATCCGTCTTTCCTTCGACCGACGGTTTTGGAACCAGACCTGTTACAACATCAAATAAAATGTCTCATGATAAATAATTTATTTGCATCTTCTTATAAAAGCATAACAAAGAGAAACAAATAGAGTACAATTATACAGCAACTGTTCAGTATTCAAATATCATTGGATAATCTTATTCTTATAGGACTATAAATCACATTAGGGAATATACTGAGGAGGATTTTAGTTTCGACAGACTGTGCTATTTCAGTCGTGATTCAAATGTCTTGTTTGCTAAGAAAATCATTGAAATATTTCGAATTACACAAGGATTGACACACTTCTAAAAATAATCATTACTTTGAAATTGAAAGTCTATCACTATAATAAATATAATTGAATTTAAAAAAGGGGGCACGAGTGTAAGTATATAGACGCGTAGGCGATTGCCATAACTTGAACATTTATGGGTTTAGAACTAATAAAGAAAGTCCTAGAGTTATGTTTTTGGACCATTTGGGCAGTATTACACTTACATTAATTTTTTGTACGAAAATTTCAAATATCTGAAAGATTAACTTCTGATTTTTTAATAAATTGGTTCACGCTGAAATTTCCTTCTTCTGGTTTGTTTGTTCGTAGTTAAGCACAAAGTTACACAATGGGCTATCTGTGCTGTACCCACCACGGGTATCGACCCACGAATTTTAGCGTTATAAGCTCCCAAATACCGATAAACTACAAAAGAACATGAGAAAAAATATAATTATTTTTCACATAGTTCATCCTTCAGCACTGTTATGATTTAAATTCAGCTCCAAAACATGAAATAAAACGTTAAGAAAGCAGCACTTTGAAACATAATTAAATTATATGAAACTAAACTGTTGTTGTTACCAGTACGTAACCTTCCATATAGCAATTCCAAAATACGACATATAAAATTATGTTCTTAAAATGAAAAAAATAATTGTTTTCCTGTAAGAACAGGTAGATTCTTTATTCAAAATTTCAAGCTTCTTTTTACACGCATACACATTCATAAAGTAGGAAGTATACACCGACATTCTCTAGTTTTAATTTTCATCCTAAAATATGTTTAACGTCTGGCTTTTTCCTTACCAAAACCGTAAAATTGATCTTTTTCAGTAACACAAACACATATACGTAACTATACGCGTTTAAAAAAATTTAGTCAGACAAACAAATGAATATACAAAACAGCCGCTTTTAAATCTCATGCTGTTCCACAACATCAGTCACGTGAGGCGAGCCATGAATGCAATGTTGATCTTTAAGTAAAACGAATGTTCCATGCACTCCCTGGACACACACACACACACATTCTGGTGTATGTATTCAGTGATGAGTGTCAAATATAGACTTACCATTAAGTTACATTATCCCGCATGAGTGCGTGTAAACATCGTCGGTGCTGAAGAATTACATACATGACAATTAAACTTTATTAAATTTCTGCTTTTGTATATTGAGAAAGGGGAGGAGGAAATTACCTGTCAGACCACTAACCACACATAGAGTCGAAGTAATATCAATGAGAAATAATCAAAATGGTGCGATCCTTTGTTTGAAGGTCATATCTAGACACTAAGTCTATACAGATAGATGACACTCGTGGTTCAACTCAAATTCTCAATGGTAGCTCACATTTAGTGTTTGTAATTTCACACTCGAGAGCACAGTATAAATTTTGTGAATTACTCAGAAAGTGTCATTACAGTTTAGAATGCGTATACTAGAAAAAAAACACGTTCTTTATCTTCTAAACACGAGTTTTTACACAGTTATAAAGAACCCATGGTTCTCAAAGATGCCATAATGCTTTTTAACACAGTTTCTGACGCATAAGGCCTCACAAAGCCTACCACAAAACTAGTTAGCAACTCGTTTTGTTATAATTCACTTTACCTCGTTCTGTTTGAAGTGTTTTTATTTCAACTATCCCCTTTCAAATAACACTGCCAAACTAAACTTTACGGACAGATGAAATCGATTACAATCTACTCCAGCTAGAGTAAATAAACCCAAAAGTACGAACTTGTTTTTAATACACATTCTAAAAATTCTAAAAACGCATAAAACAAATTTCGTACTGATAGATATACTCTCTAATAAGACGGCGATACGACTCTTAGCAGCTTTCCGACAAAAACAGAACCAAAACCTCCGAAACAGAAGTGTATTAAAAACTTAACAAAAACTGTCAGGTTGAAATCAGCAAATGTTTTAGAATAGAAAGTAAAAGGAAGTAGATAATCATATGATACGTATATAGAATTATTCGTTAACATAACAAGAGAGGATCCTCAATAGCCACGGCACTTGAAATTCTTTTAGGCAGGATTAGAGTAAATTAATCTATGAGACCTTGGGCGGAGTCAGATACATCAATCGAAAGGGTTTGACCCCATGATT